ATAAAACAAATTTCTGGTTAATAATAACTATACCTTCATTTAAGTATTGCCGCAAAAGCTAAGTTTGGCGATTACGAAAGGGCTTTCATTGATGGAGAAATCTAGAGTATGATTCCTGGGTATGACGATAAACTACATCCGACATCAAGGCCTATGATCGAGTGAGTTGGGGTTTTGAGGCGCATGAACATGAAACCATCTCTTAATTGCTATTGTTTCTAGATACATCCCGACCCGGAGTGGTAGCACCTGTTAGGGTCCCAGCAATGGGCAAATATTGAACCCAGAAACAAAGCACAAGGAATATATAAAATATATTTTTATATTAAAATTACCAGTAATACATTTTTATATAAAATAAACAATGCATATTTATAGTAAAATGACCAATAATATTTTTTTAAAGCAAAATGAGCATACACTCGCCCTCAAAAATATTTAGATGAACCATATAAGTTTATTCAAAATATTTTAGATTTCGGCGTTAAATAACCCATAAAGGTGTTGATATGCCTTAAACAAAATCAACCAAACAATATAAAAGAACATTTTATGACATAATCCATAAAATATCTGATAATTTCTTAAACCAGACTGTATTCCAAAATAACTACAACAAAACTAAGACATAAAACACAAATATCAACACCTCTAGTAATTATGTCCCCCCAACCATGTCTATGCACAAAAGCTAAGTTTCATCTACCATGTATCCAGTTGCGAAAGCAGAATAACATCATATTTTGATCACTTCAAAGCTCCGAAGAAAGATAAATTTCAACTTTAAATGACCCATAAAATATTGATATTCAGAGGCTCATTATTGTCCCACGAGAGGATCAATATATTTATTCGTGAATATGCTGACATATTAACTGTTAGTTTTCTCCCTGAGAGAGACAGTATAGATTTAGATTAAGTGGGAACAGGGTAAGGGCGCAAAACTGAGCTATACTAACTAAAAACAAGACGAGGTGTGCCTAGATATGGACTGCGTAACGACCACTACTAAACCCCGGGTTCAGTTCAAAATTGTCTCTAGGTTATCTGGACCTGAAGAAAGCTGGAGTGCACAAGGCTCGAAACGTTATGATAATGAAAACAAAAATGGGGAGATTCTACCGCTTGTAAATGATGTCCAGAGTACGCATTTAGAGCTTTTAAATTTTTTCTTTATTGTCCCGAAAGTGAATGCCCGGATCTGAAGATTTGGTGTTAAGGCAACCTACAGTTAGCAATATTACTTATCGTGCGGCATTTAAGTTAGCTCTTGCAGAGAGTTCTTTATTAGACCTTCATCGCAATAGGTAGGGAGTAGTAGATGCAACAGGCAATGATAAACTAAAAAGAACTCAAAATTCAACGCTGCATTTATATTGCATTAATATTTAAGCTTACCTTTTAAAATTTCAAGGATAATTCTTCGGTCGCTACTTAATTTAAGGATAATTTGATGTACGTAGGTCCTTACTTTCTGTACAAACTATTATATTTATTTCATGGGTGACTTTCGCTGGATTTCGCAGTTAATTTCGATTATTCCTAAACTTATTTCCAAATTATAAAAATTGCTATCGTATAAAAAATTCCCTCGCAAAAAATCACGTACAAAAATCACAGAAAAAAATCGCATTAATGAAAACTTGAAACTCGAAAATTTCAGGGTTCGGGGTCTGGATCTGACAGGAACGCTTTTAGTTTGCTCACGGAGTCGGTCTGATTCCAAAATGTTATGATAGGTTGGGCTATGGCCTCTAGGAGTCAATTTGAAAAAGTGTAGCACAGTGAAACCCTGACATTCTCATTTATAATCATTTATATATATATATATATATATATATATATATATATATATATATATATATATGTATATATACACACACACACACACACATATATATATATATATATATATACACACGCACACACACACACACATATATATATATATATATATATATATATATATATAATATATATGAAATATAGTTTCAAGGTGGGCTATATTTATAGGATAAAGTTCTCAATATCAGAGATAGAGCGTATATATATATATATATATATATATATATATATATATATATATATATATATATATATAAGTGAACATTGAAGTCAACACTCAGGCTGTTTCATGCTGGACGCAATCGCCAGGCGGCCTGACGATTCCGTCGAGCAGGAAACAGCCTGTCGCCTCTGAGTGTTGACTTCAATGTTCATTTTTATATATATATATATATATATATATATATATATATATATATATATGTGTGTGTGTGTGTGTGTGTGTGTATGTATGTATGTATGTATAACTAATTGGCCGCGCAAGTAATATATTTTCGGTATGCCTGATATGTCATCTCATGTTTCGTTTACAATATTTCTTGGCTTTCAACCCAGAACACTTCAAAATATTCTTCTGAGATGCAACAAGCATTAAACTGATGTTTCCATCATGTAAATGATCAGAACTTATCCAACTGGAAGCGATCCAATATCTTATTTTGGCTGGCATATAAATATATAATAAAAATGCTGTGCACGTGTTGACATTAGTGGAGATCGTGACAATTTCGGATAAACTTACGAAGAGCAAAGAAAGTAAGTCGGCGAAGTTAGACATTCATGATAATAGCACATTTTCGCTATTCACTGACCGAGCATTAATCTTTATTGTTGGTTGAAATACTAAAATCTTTGTATTAGAATAATTTTCCCCCAAAATAGGTTTCTCAATTTCAGTGTCATTTATATTTTCAGTTCTGTTGGGAGCTTCCTTCCATACCTTTTAGTTCGACCTAGAATGGAACGTCAACATCTTGATTACGTCATTATTTTTCTCTTCCAATGAAACCTGCTAACCATTTCTTTTGTTGTTGCTGTTGAAAGTCCTCAGTTGCTCTTGGTTACTGTTATTTACCACAGTTCTTTGTTGTTGATTTTCTAGCGGAAGTGAATGTAATCAACTGGACCTGAATTCGATCTCTTGAATGTCTACTCAAAACATTTTTATCTACTAAATTCTATTTTATCTACTGCTATCTTGTTCAGAGTAACTAGAAATAATGTCGGATTATGGATAAAATCCACGAATTCTTGGGAAATTATTTTGTTTTAAAATCAAATTTAGTAGATATGGGCTTTAAAAGATCAAAACAATACAAATGCATTTCTGAAATACGGTAGCTCCCGCTGAGTGTCTTTCGTGGCCGAGCAGTTTTAAAGAACGCCGGATTTAACGGTAGGTCCCCCTACATTTTTAGCACGGCACTAGATTGAAAAAAAAAGGTCTCATCATTTTACAGTCTAAATGGCTAGATGTAACTGTAAGTTCTCTGCTAAAACTTACTTTTTCTCGATTCTGGAACTCTCTACGATTCTTGCTTTCCAGTCAAGTTTGATCTTCAAAAAAGAAATGTAAATCCTCTGTCTTTTTAATCGTTGTTCTTCTATTGTCTTCTCTGCTTAATAGTATATTTTCTCATATTCTCTAACATTCAGTAAACCCTTATGTCTTTATTGCCTTACTTGGGGTGAAATGATAAGGAAAGTGGGACTTAATTTTGAAAAGCGTTCAATCACGTATCTCCACCAAATATAACATTTATAGTAATAAGAGATACTGTCGAATTATAAATAAAACCATTAATTCTTTAGAAATTATAATTCATCGTGCAATGCCAATATAATTATTAGAGTAAGAATAGTTGATGAGAGGACAAGCTGCCATTTAGGTGTAATCAAGTCGTTTCCCAAAGTATTAATACTGACCTGATACAAGCAGCCATAACTGGATTGTTTTCCAGTCTAACAACTTTTATGCCAACTCACATTTTCTTGATCGCTGCGAAGACTATGGCTCTATTCCAAGTCGCTCAAGTTCAAAAGAAGAGCTCATAGACAATGCTGTATTAATTGTTAGACATTATGGTATCTTCTGAGAGATAACAATAAAATTCTCATACATATTTCATACTGAATAACTTTAAATATATTCGGCATTCAAATTTATCCGATTTGGGCAAAATGGAAGCTATTTTTATCACCACCAGTAATCTTAACGATCTAAAGTCTATATTTTAAACTGTTTGTGTTCGTGTAACAATATCTTTTCTTTCGATCGAAGTGCTCAATACATTCAGCCATTTTTGTTATTCGCTTCATAAATAGAAGTACGGAATAAACGTATTAAAAATAGATACGCGTTGGTGAAGTGCTTCTAATTCTGAAACTGACTTTTTTTTTAATCTGTAAACAGCACCAAATCGATATCTTATCCATAGATTTTAATCGATTCCCTAAAAGAAGCACTTGCAAAATGATTTTTTTATCAGCTATTCGTTTTCATCCACAATTATATTGAGAATGCTAATATTTCTTTAACTATGTCCAAAAGGCCGTTTTCAATGTCCTCTTTCGTGTTTTACCACAGAGTCACTTGGCTGGATCGAGGTCAGCTGAATCCATCGTTTTGGATTGAACCAAGATATTTTTCTTATCTGCTTGCGGACACAAAACCTCCAAAGATATGACTCGTTCCTTCACTTCAATAATGTTCAAAATGTTTAGGTTCATTCAAAGCTTCCATTATCTGCACATCTCGCGTTGAAAATATAAAGAAAAATCAGATTAATCTGTTTTTTTTTACTGTTTAATAAATATTTTTTAGATAGTAAGAAATTTTTAAGATAATGACTTTTACAAGTTCTACTAATTAACTCAAAGCGGGTGGGAAGGGTGGATACTTGCCTTTCCCAAAGGGTATTTGCCTGCAAATGAATATAACACACCCGACTGTAATTGGAACCCGGAGATCCGTTTTCAATTACGGGCCGTTATCCATTACACCAACAGCTTACAACACTTGATCCTCCCAAAATGTCACTCATTTAGTTACTGATCAAGCTAGATTATTTTTAACGCCGGGGATCTTACAAGAACCAGTTTTGAAACAAGATCTAACTGTAAGCCCTTTATAACAACCACACATACAAATTTATAGCACCAGGTATTCTGAAGAAGTCACCCATTTAGGTACTAACCATGCTCGATGTCTCTTAACTTCAGTGATCGTACGAGAACAGGATTTTCAAAGGCACACCAACCGCACATACAAGCTTACAGGACCTGATATTTCCAAGCTGCCACCCAACTAGGTACTGACAATGATCGGTGTTGCTTAACTTCAGTGACAGTACAACTATTTCTACATGATATGACCGTAGACCATAAAATACTAGAAGACTACGCGTAGGAATGCCTATGCCCTTAGGGTCTACCCAGAATTATATATGTGATCTTTTTAGATTAAAATCTCCAGTTCACACTACATTAGATCTTTTCAACGGATTTACTCTTTGTTTCCCGCTTAGGATTGGGTCGACGGTTTTTTCTAAAGTAGATACCGCCATTTTTTCGCTAAAAAAAAAAAAAAAACAGTATCGTACGTTGAAAAAATCCCCAAGCTTAGTAAAAACAAAGTTTTATTATCAAAATGTTTATGTTATTATCAATAGGAAGGAGCAAAGTATTTTTAATAATTGTTTTTAATTTTTTACTCCTTTCGGAATTTTGGTTAAATTTTTTTTTTTTTTGTGTCAATTGTGTAACAGAGTTGATTATGGAAATTTTAGTTCCTTTATTATCCGGTAAAATAATACACTGGTTCAGAAAATTTTACAATAATACAATAATCAAATAATTCAAAGCTTATTCACAAATGAATTCATTTATTTTTGAAATTAATATTTTTAGAAAATCTTGGAAATTTCTTTTTATTACATCTGTTATCCAGCACTTATTAATTTCATGAAATTTCTAGATAGTAAATTCTGGCCTCAAAAATTGTTTTATAAGTTAAACGAAGGATTCCATGGAGAATGTAAAACCTGTATTATTGTTCCAAACAATTACCCAGTTCTCGAAAATCTGCTCCAGATTATAAAATAAAATCGCAATAAATCTTTCGCATTATTTAATTAGATAAGCTTTTAATTGCTTTTAGAAATAATATTTATTGAGGACCTTATAGTCTGAAGACATTTCTTTTCGATGAATAATGAATTTTTACAAGAATTGTTTTCATTTTTTAATTATAATAATTTAGATATTCAAGGCTTTGACTTCGTTATGTTATTAAGTGAAGACTGTATTTACTAAGCGATAATTTAAAAAGTTTAATACAAATCATCACATGCCAATATTTTTAAAATATTTAATTTTTTATGTGTAATTTTTGAAAGTATGGGTCTTTATACAGGGCATTATCAGAAGACAATTTCGATGACTGTAGTAAATTTAAAGTCAACACTTCTCAAATTTGATTACGAAGAATATTTCAAACTTTTTAAAGATTACTGAATAATTAAAAATTGTATATATATAAAAAAGCGTTCACTCGTCATTTTCTTAAATTATGTTTTAACAGATAAAGTTTCCGTAGAACAACAATAAAACTGTCAACACCTTCAGAAGCACTTGTTAAGTGATTTACAAGCTTTAACAAGTATGCGATCATTGCTACCATTTGCTTTTAAAATGTGTTTCTTTTAACTTAAAGTAAATAATATTTGTTTCGAATCAGAATAATTATACTTTAAATAAGATCATATTCCTTAAATAAAGTTTTAGAAAAGTATATTTAATTTTTGGAAGACGATATTGATGAAGAAAATTACATTGCAATGACAGATTACTAATAACGGACTCTAATCAGGTATTTTTAGCCAAAAATTGTATCGGATACCAATCAATATAATTTCTGTTTGAAATACACTACAAAGTATTTTGCTTACTGGAAATAGTAAATTCAATCCTTTAGCTTTCACTTAAGCCTAAAATGAAAGCTTCAAGAAAGATTTTTTTTAAATTTTTACACTTCATTTTGAACCTTAGGTGAATTATTCGTGAATTAGTAGAGGTATCTATTCTAAAGTCTACTTCAACCCTATACTTCTAGCGCCTCTGCCTAAAACTATGATCTACTATTTACAATTTATTTGCATTTTTCTTGAATAAGAGTAGACAGGTTTTTCTATCGTCCGATTCAGATGTCTCCCTCGATTTTTGAACCGGCGTAGAGGTTTATCATTTGTTTCCTGTTTAGGGTTAGTTTTCCCGTTCACTTTAAAGCATTTTCTTTGTCTGTCTTCCCGGTGGCATTATCACCTTGATAATCTGTGACCCTCGAACTCGAGTGGCTCTTGGGCCTTGTACAGGGAAATAGAAATTGGTCTCTACCAAAATCAAGCAATTACAGTGGATGCAGAATGTGACATCGACATCAAATGGCTCATTAGAATAGCAACAAAGTTTCCGAAAACTAAGTAAAATACAAAGAAACAAGTAATTTCTTTAGAAACGAAGAGAAAAACGTGATGAATTGATATACAGGGTCATTCAAAATTCCCTCTACATTATTTTTTTTATTTTTCAGATTTTCCATCAAAGAATTCAATTTCGTTATATAATATAGTTCACTATTTTAGAATTTGTTGGTGGAGTGGTTGAACCCTTCGTCGTGTCAAAATGGGTAATCAGTTGAGTTTGGAACTGAAGTGTAAAATCGCAACCTGGCAGGAATTTTACCAATCTCCAACAGAAACTCAATTCTTTTTTCTGTGGTGCTTCCTGAAAGGCAAAATCTATACATCAAGGCCCAAGTTAGAGGAACGTATAAAGAATACCTGCAATCTTGTTAGAGGGGGAGATGCCGACCAGAGTTGGAGAGGGGGGCTTAAAGAGCTGGGTTATATTTCTCGAAAAAGAGGGCATTCACGATGAAGTCTACGGAGCCTATGAAAACAGAAGGTGATTTTTTTTCGTTATAGGATAAATTCTAGCAGTCTATAGCAAGGTCACGACTAATTTTTGTACAAATCCACGAAGCCGTTCTCATTTAATTAAAATTTAAAAGAGTAGCAAGAATTTTGAATGACACTGTATAATAACTGTCGCGTGTCTTCAACTAAGTGAACATTTAAAAAATTGCTGCGGGTTGATAAAGTTCTTTAGGTTTCACGAGTCACTCTCTATATCTCTGAAATAAGGTATTATTACTTACATTATTCGAACTTCAAAACGTTTCGACCTTTGTAAGCTTCGGCCTTCTTCAGGAGATTAGAATTTCAAACAGAACCCTTTATTTCATACAGTGATGTAGATTGTTCTAGTTTCACGTGTCATCCCTCTTCCGGATGCTTCAGTTATCAAAATAAGATATTGGATCGCTTCCAGTTATATAAATTCTGACCATTTACATGTTGGGAACATCTGTTTAATGCTTGTTGCATCCCAGAAGAATATTTTGAAATGGTCTGGGTCGAAAGCCAAGAAATATTGTAAACGAAACATGAGATGACACATAAAGAGTACCGAAAAATATATTACTGGGTTTTTGCTGTGTCTTTAAAACCTAGTAATTTTAAAAGTTACTCCAAAATTCGCTTGAGGATGAAATGGAACTAATGTCTTTAATTTAATTACAAAATTAAATTCGGAGCTTTTAGCTTCCATTTTTGAAACATGGTTAGAACTGTGTAGCGAAAAAAAACATATTTTAAATAAATTAATTTATGAGAATGTCAGGGTTTCACTGTTTCAGTTATCTCTCTTTAACTTAACTCTCAAAGTTTTGGTTTACCACTGCTGTAGGTTGATATTGAACTCACAACACTTTAGGTCTCCTCACCCCATCTAACCAACGCCTTTATTCACCGTGCCATGTGTCGTTGTCGTCAGGAGATAGTATTTTCGAACTGAATAAAGAACTTTATAAATGTAATTATGTACATTGCGTTTTCTTCTGAAGTTAGTAACTCAACATGTATCTTTCGTAAAAAGTGTGTTAATATAGTTCGCATTTACAAAGAATCCCGAAGAAACAACGTGACAGCAAAATGTCTTTTACTCCGACTGTCTCTCGAGCGTCTAATGTGTGCTTTTGTCCGTCGTGTGTATCCAGTCTGGGTGTCTGTACGTCCAAAGATTGTTTGCTTTTTAGATATGGTCGGAGTGAATCAGAAAATGAAATTTTGGTCCCGAGCTGGAACTCGCCCGATTGGTTGATTATGATTTCATTTATTTGAAGAAAATAGTGGATGCCTGGAGCTACCAACTCAGAGACCCGTTTTGTCGTTTGACACTTCCGTCAACTTCGGACTCTAGCAGATGTAGAGGCCACAAAATATCAATTTTTCTATCTCCTTACAGATGAAGAAGTGATTGAAAACAACATGAATTTGGATCTACAGGAGGATGCTTGGAATAACATTGGGAGAACATGTGAATAACGAGGAAGTTTTTAAGTATAATGGAGATCAAAAGGACGCTTATCTTCAGAAGTTGGTAGTTTTGGACACGTTGTAAGGAAGAGGGGATTGGAAAATTTGACACTCACAAGTATATCGAAGGCAAAAGGGATAGGGAGTCGCAGCTGGTCATCTATGTGGATGTTGCAACTGGTGAGAGCAAGGGGAATATAAAAACAAAGATTGCTGAGAACTTCAAATGAAAGGAAGTTATTCCGAAGAGACGCAGCAGAGAGAAGAATTCAAGTATAAAATCAATTAGTGGAATTTTTTTGTTTCAATTTACCTTAGAAATTCTACCAGGCTTCATTATTGGTGGCTACAATCTAAGCAATATAAGATATGCAAATGACACTGTGCTGACAGCAGACACAGAAAGGAACCTAGAAAAAGTCCTATAGAAGGTACTGAAGGAAAGCAAGAAGAAAGGACTAAGTATCAATTATAAGAATAGAGATGGCATGGTTATTAGGAATATGATGAACCCAAAATGCAAAATGAAAATCGGGGATGCTAAAATCAAACCGGTACACAAATTTAAATGAATCAGAAGTGTGCTAACAGAGGGCGGAAAGTGCGACACTAAGATCTAAAGACGTATTTCGATAGTATTAAGATGCATTCCAAATGTTAAGCAGAGTACTAAGAGACAGGAAAATTCCTCAGAAACAAGGAAAAGATTATTGAACTGTTACCTTTATTTGGCAGCGAATGCTAGACAATCACATCAAAGACGAAGAAGAGACGTATCAAAAATGTAGTTCTGCAGAAAATGCTGAAGATGCCATG